TTTTCTCAGTGGCAACGGTGAATCGATTCTATCGCCTCAGGAATGGGGCAGATCTTTGTTACTAAGTCAGATGAGTCAAGCGTTTTCGAAACAGTCATTTCGTTCAGTTTGGCTGACGACGTGTTGAGTGAGTTGCCGCTCGATAATGCGGAGACCCCTGGTCGAAGCTCGCTGTGTTAGCTCCACAACTTTTTAGCGATATCGCCGAATATTTGGCACCACAAGTTGGTTTGTATGCTACGTTTCTATGCGACTAATGCTTCACCTTTTTTTAAAGGTGCCCCGCTAGACCTTTCTAAGCTGTCAAAGGATCATTTTACTAGTGGCCTCCGTTTCATCATGAATATCCTGCCACAAAAGTTTTCGAGTCTGTCCGAGTATGAGCGAACGATCTCAACGCATTTGCTCTTTGACTGCCGCGATCGCGTTGTAAGTTACTCAGAGATGAATGGCAAGGGGGTGATGCGCAGCTCGAAGTTAACATTGACGCGCGTTCTGAACTTGAAAATTCTGTTTTAATTTTTTTAGCCATCGTGCCGATACTTTGATTTACACGTGAGTGGTGACGTGGCGCACCGTGGGTGGTAGTGGTACACATAGAGTTTTCTATGAATACACCAGAGAGAAACTCTGGCACTTGTGTCCATGGGAGCTGCAACGCACTGTGCTTCCGCCAGCACGAAAATGATGGGTTTGGATTCGGCTAATTTTCGTACTTTCGGCTCCGTTTGGCTTCGCGTGGCTCGGAGCTGCTTTGTCACAAAATAAAAATCAGCAAACGTTCAGCACTTGCACTTCACTACTTTAAGCCCTCAGACTCACCAATTCAAATCGGGTCACGAAATTCAAAATGGTTCGTTCTTTTATTCAAAACAAAGCCAAACCACTCCTGTAAAGAAAGCTACAAGTGCGTTTGCAGCCCTCAAGCACGGAGACTAGCCATATCCATGTACTACCCAACATTCCGATGGTCGCTGAACAATCACAGCGCAAGAGTCTCCTCTAGTTAATTTTAAGAAACTCTACAGTGGTACATACCTACAGAAAAAGAGGCCTCCAAGACAACAGACTGGCCTCCGAGACAGTTGACTTATAGCCTCCGGGACAGTTCATAACGTTGGCTAATAGCTGTCGCGCTCGCTTGCTTTCCCGCCTGCGGCATAGTCGGCGGAGGGTTGAGCAATACCGTTTTCGCTGCCTGTGGTAACAAATTGCAACTTCCAGGCCGGATTCAGCGCAAAGATATTTGGCTCACGTTTTCACGGTTGAGTTATGCAAGTCCACAGCGTTTTCTCACAATGTTCAAAAAGTGTGGCCGGGACCCTTTTAAGTATGCAACAGTAAAAATGAACATTCGTGCTTTATTTTTTGCTCTTCAAGATCCATATTTACGGTTGTACAACGGGTTGTGTGTCTTCGGAAGTCAGCTATACTCACACACATACTTCCTACGTAAAGTGTCTCAATCAACTGAAAGGATACTTAGTGATTTACTGTAAGTAATGGGTAAGTTGGCTGTTAAGTGTATCGCTAACTTCGGGTAGATTCACTTTTGTTGTGTCATTTATGTTCATTCAACTTTTAGGCATAATAGGCAAGTTTTCTATATTTAGCACATTTTGGGACAATTATCGCTGAGGCACGAGAGACATTGTAGCATCGCGCAAACTATTATTGTGCTGTGTTTTTTTTTTTACTTAGCCAGGAGTAAAGGTGCCGAGGCTGCAACATTCGTCCCTCCGAAAGCCCAATAAAATCCGACGTGAACTGATGTATGTGAGAACATTTAGCACAAAAATAAACAGATCAAAACGTAGGAGACACATCACATTGCAACCACGGGTTTCGAAGGCTGAGCAATATAAGGGCGTGCACTCTCAACGCTGTGAATCACACGTTGAAATACTAGGTCTATGCGTTCAGACCTCTGTATTTATTACTGGCGCAGCCAGATAAAAATCCACGTGGCACTTCCTCAATGATTAGTAGCTTCGCGCACCAGGGTTTCCCACCCAAGAAGCCAAAATAGGAGTGCTGGGTGCAATAGTCACGCACTCAACCGTTGCCACATTGCGCAGTTTCGCCTGTCCTAAAGGCGGCATTGAAAGCCGGACTCCATAGAAAAGCCTCCATCTCTGCGTTGATGCAAAAAGGAAGGGTGGAGCTGTGGGTGTACATTGTGTAAGCAAGAGACTTTAAATGCATGTTCATCAGTTATACCAGGTGCGATTGAAGCAGCTATGATTCATTCGAGGACTAATTAGTACAAGAGTAATCTAAATAGCACTTGACACATAATTTGAGAAGCTATAGCCTTATGTTTCAGGTGGTCCCAAGGCATCACAAAAAATTTTGCACGTGACTGCAGCTTTTCAGCACGATCTACGATAGCTTGTTTGTTCAGGGAGACTCTGACACTCTTATATCTTGTACCCTTTTCGATCCCTATATGGTCAAAGACATCAAAGGAATTGGACAGTTTGAGAGAAAGCAAGCGATGAGGTCATTATGCACAGTTTCCAACGCTGTCCGTGTCTCTACGGGCACACACGCAATGTCATGGTGATGGTTTATTGTATTTTGCAATGCTACACGCGAAAATGTATCCGCAAGGTCATCCAGACAGCGACAAGAAAACAGCGAAGCGTCTCTTACGAAAGGGTGTGTAGAAAACAAGAACGAAGTATTTTCACCTCAAGAATGCAGCACGCATAAAAGTTAAGGCGGAGATCACAAGTCATAGGTGTAACGTCTACCGCTCTAATTGCTTTATGTGGCCGCGGTGGGCGAGAGGGTATATCGGAGGCACAGCGGGTGGTCGCGCCCAGCGGACGATGTGCCCAGCCTTTCGGGATCAGGTATGACACAAATGGAGTTAGCTGCGCCTCCGATGCTGATGCAAAGGGCGGGGTCTGCGCTCCTGTGAAACACCGAATTTCCGCACCTGTGCACGCAGTCTCAAGGGTGTGTTCGCTAAGCTACAGTTGTAAGCTCGGCGGCGTGAAGCAGGCACACCGCCTGGCGGGAACAGTTGGCTTCTAACTAGAGGACAGTGGTATGGTGCAAAAGTAGCGCCATTCACTACGCGTTATGTTTGGGCATTTTGCCTGTCACAGCCGCCGCACTCGTGGGCTGCTGCATGAAGGGGGAAAAGTTCCGTAAAGAAATACGTATACACACTTATATTGTCACTCTGTACGCAACACCGTCTGTGGACGTGAAAATCTGGTGACAAACGCGACGGCGGGCTCACCACACACTCACTAAAAGAGAGGTAAGTAAATAAATAAACAAAGAACGAAGCAAACCCCAACATTGGTATTTCTCATACGCTGAAGGAAACAATGAATTGATCTGGGATGACACTGCACAGAAAGACAAATTGAATCAAGACTTGGGAGGAATACAAACTGAAGACGCTCGGGCTTAACAAAACTGATCCTCGTGCTGCGTACGTGTCACTCAGCACGACTCTCGTTAACGCAGGGATCATAATGGTGTGCGAATTCTCGCCTGCAACGAAGACAGTAACATCAAAGAACACCCACTAATGAAGGACAAAACGTCAGGTACTGTTAGGGTACAAATCAACCGTATACATAATGACCACCGTGGTTCCAGAGGAGCACGCAGTCTGGTACCTTCATGGCGACCACGATAGCGCCTCGCCTGGGTTCGCAGACAGCGCCGAGGCCCCGTCAACGAGAACGCATGCTTAAACTAGGGAGCAAATGTCTGCGAGAGTACAAGCACGCCAGCATAACAAGAAGCACTTTCAAAAGGGCACGCACACTACGGACTTCAACACAATGGTAAACATCACTATTCACTGCGCCTATGCATTTTTCTTCTCGTGTGCTAAAGACATGTCTTCTGCGCCTAATTTGCGAAGCATAGGCGGCCAAGTAACACCTACACACTCTTCATAAGCCCAAGGTGTAACGATACAGAAAGTTGACTACGAATTCATCACACAAGAATGTACAACAATTATGATATGCCACATGTATGCACACTCGCAAATATCAGAGAAATACAAGAGGAAATGTTTTGCTGGTTCTCCGTTTTAGGCATGTACATAATATATTACCTTATTCCCTTGACTCATAATCCGAGTCCCCCGGTCAGAATTTATTACCCTGCAGTTATTCGACTTTCCCAAGCTGACTGAAAGAGTGGCCGATCAGGACAAGAGCAAATGAAGAATCAACCCACTTGTGCAGAAATCAGCACAAAACTTTGTACATTTATGCACACATACGCAGAGGAGGGAGTAGTATACAAAATATGCTTGGTACTTGCTGAAAGGTCCGCTTTCAATGAAGCCAGATTGCAAGCGCACGACAAACATTGAGCAAATGTTTGACTAGTGTTCAAGGAGCTAAGACACGAATACAAACACAACCAGTGTAAGGACCAAATGGCTCTCAGAAAAAACGTTTTGTCTACAGGCATCGACATATGAAGCTGAACTTAGAAAATTGCATCACCAGTGTGTCTCTGTCTGTGTGTTTTTTACAGTGTATTGATGTGTGTTTACAGGAACGTGGAAGGCCATTCGAGTACAAAGGTTTTTACTTTCAGTTATCTATGATACAATAATCGGCTCTCAACGTTCACGGTGTAGGTTAATGTTCGGTAAAATCTTGTTTTTTTTTATCGTGCAGGTCTTCACAACAGTTTGTGCTTAGGCTGTAGAAGGAACATACAATGGTGCAGCGGTGAACATAGTGTGCATAGTGAAAATGTGCTCGAGCTGGAGCGTTTGCTGTGCAAGGTCAGGTGCTCACACTGAAATATAAGTATCACACTCCAACAACGCGTCAGGCGGGATTCACTGTAGACTGTTGGAGACTCTCTGATAAGCAGCCACTGGAACATTTCACACCAGGTATTCACGTAATTGCAGTGGCTATTTCCTAAAGCTCATTGCTCTGGGCTAATATACTGAAAAGATCGACATATAGAGAGCTTACAGCTTTACAGCTTACAGCTCTGACAGCTTAGAGTGACTAATTAGTTGATTTTATACGCCAGCCTAACAACGACATCCGACATGAAGTACCTTATAGAGTCACGCGCACACGGTGGTACTTAGTTCCGAATTTTTGTTTTCACTGTGTTTGCGCGATACGAGTAACGACCAGGCGGGTTTTGGTACGTCAAGCTAAGTAAAAAAAAATCTTATATCAGTCAATATGCATTGGCGACTGGAAGGAAGATGCTCTCGCAAACGAAAAACACATTACACTAAAGTGCTCTCTTCTCCCCTGGTGTCACTCTTTGAGATGCCATGATCGTCACTGTGTTGTCATCAACCTGACTTGTTCTGATTCAATGCATGTGCTTGGCTCGAATTACCCTTGCGCCGCTGTTTGTTTCGACTAAAAAATACGTTCTCACTGGGTAGTATCGCAATGTGGTGCCACTTGCGCACCCAGATTCGGCTCTCGACACCAACAGTCCTCGACAGCTCTTGGCAGTGACGACTCGTGACAGAAATGCGAGCGTGTGACCTGCCCGGGTGCCCAGCTGCCTGTCGGCAACGCGGTGAGGTTTCCGAGTGATGCACTATATATTGCTTATACTCCACGCTGGCTAGACAGACTGCTCAATTTCAGGCGTGGCAGCAGGCGTGCGGTGGTACATAGAAATGTGATGTGGGCCGCCGTGCGGATAGCTTCGGGATGCGATGGTGAGCCCTGGGTAAGTTTCCGCAGGGCCGATGCCACCGTTTAGTTGCCGTAGCACACATTGTTTTTCCTTTGTCATAAAGGCGTCCGTCGTCGTGGAGGGGCGAATGGGAGGGTGGCAGCCATTCGGCCAGGCTCGGCATGCGGCTGCTTGTCGAGGAGGAAGTAGGCGCGTGGACAGGGTGTTCACATGAGGGCGCAGATGGCCGATCCGGTGACCGTGTTCTCGGGGCCGGGGTCTCGCGCAGCCGGCTCGGGTGCCTCCTCGACGCTGTTTGTGCGAGGGAGAAGGACGCCGGCTGTGCGCCCCGGCTTGGAGAGCTCCTTCTTCTCGACCAGTTCCTTGGGCGCCACGGGCGACAGCAGCGTGGGCGGCGTCTGCTGCGTGAACTCGGGAAAGCAGGCGAACATGCTCTGCTGCTTCTTAAGGATCTTGTGCTTGGGCAGCTTGGGCTTCGGCTGCAGGCCCAGATCACCGGCATGAGCACCAGGCGCGGCGGCGCGGGGTCCCCGACCCAGGCCACCATTCCAGACAGCTGCGCCGCCTCCCGCACCACCGGTCAGCTGTAGGTGCTCGCGGGAGCCGAACGGCGACAGCGGTTTGCTGGCGCGGAAGTCGTCGGTGGCCGCGGCCGTTTCGTGCTTGGGTGACTGGGCACGCAGGTCCCAGTAGAAGGAGTCGAACGACTGCTCCCGCTTCAGGTTGCCCCGCAGCAGGACCCGCTTGGGGACCACGCCGCGCAGGGGGTGCCCTCCTGCGACCACTGCCACGCTCGTTTCTATACGGCTACTGGCAAAAATGGAGAGGCCAGGTGCGCGAAAGGGCAATCGCCGCGAAGCGAACGTCCGACAGTAAAAAAAAAGACAGAGAAAAAAGCGCGCCATGTCGCCATGAGGCTACAAGTGCAAGGCGCAATGTTGTGGCTATCTGACACGAAGCAGTTTGAGCGCCGCCTGTGCGAGTTTGTCACACAACGAAGCACAACATAAGCCGTAAAACCTGACTTGGTGAGTCAAAACATCTACTGTGCTTGAGCTGCGCCATCGGCGGGCACTGTGATTTGATATCAGAATAATTCCTCCTAAGATGCCTGAAAACAACGATACTGTTTCCAAATTACTAACTACAGTCTCCATTGAATAAAACATATTACTAGGTATAAGCGTTTTCTCAATGCAACCTATACGTGCACGTTTCCCTTGCGATCAGAGATTTAAAATTAGCTATCGCGAGCCTGCCGAATAAAATAGAGAAATAAACTTCAAGAAGCGTGAATTGTTAACACGATCGATGTGCTGAATGCTCCGTTTAGTGACAACCCTGCTGAGGCGGCACTCGCCACACAAGCATGGGAAAAATGTGTCACAGGTCGAAGTGCACACTACGCTAGAAGCATACTATGCAAGTTTTGGGCGTTCTGTTATGAAAGAAAGAAAGGAAGATTATACACATGAAAGTAGCCCGGTTTCAGATAATGATGATGTGATACGAAAAGCAAAATAAGTCGCCCAAATTTCACATGAGCAAGGCGAAATACATTGCCTCCAAATAAAAGAAAACGATAAACTAGTTGCATGTAGCAACTTGTCGCTTTCGTAAATCTTGCGCCACTAATAAAAGAAGCACCTGCATGGATATGTTGCGGCTTTCCGGTAGGTGTCTTTTATTGTGTGGCACACGCCCTCCGCGCCACGACGTATCATATGCTTTAAGGAAGTTCCGCTGGCTGGCTTACGTCAGAGCCATATGTCCTGGTGCAGTATTGCTTACTAACAGGTGCAGTGGCACTAGACGATTCTAGACAAGAAACATGCTCAATAATGTGCAGATTGAGTGTTTACAATTCAAGGTTCTTAGCAGCATTTACATGCATAGTGTCAATGGATGACAATAGCGGGCCAATTGGTAACACGCTATATACAGTGATTAAACCACAAGAACAGAAAAGAAAGGCGCAGGCGACGACAAAAACTGGAGCCGCATGCAACATATCTACCGTAAGGCATTGTGCCAGGGGCTGTTGTGCGTTGGCAAGGAATCAAAAGCTGAAGTGTACTTGTGAAAGAACAGTAATCAATATAAGCATAAAGTGGTCCTATTATTACTTGGAAGAAAGCATTTTACACGAAGTGTGACCTCAAAGTCCACAGAGGTAATAGAGGAATACCCCGGGTAATCTTCGCAAAGACTTTCATTCATATATGTGGACATTTCTCTTATAGAAAGCTGTTACGTGACGGTGTCCACGAAAAATTGACTCACTTCGTTTCCGTCATAGAATGAACGTCATTAAATGGCGAATAAACCAACTAAAAAGAAATAAAAACTACCCTTGGCTGAGTTGCAGAAAAAAAGCAAGGCTCCACAAACTGCTCGCCCATATTTCTTTTCAGGCACCCATGGCTCTGTACGAAAAGAATTCGTCCCAACTTGCCAGTCCACTCAGAATAAACTTTGCTGCCATGTTCTGGGTCGAAAGCGACCCGCTGCTCTCGGGGTGCTGGATGCTGAACGACGCCAGAACACCCTGCCTAGCTGCTCTTGAGTTCCTAGTCGGCAAGAAACATGATTTAACCTATTCGCTAGGCTTGGATCACTGCTTATGTCAATTTCTTCACGTAATTAACATATTAACAAACGAGCTCAAAGGTTGTTAGTTTACAGGATTGCTTGAAATAAACTCGAACTGAAAAAATAAAATAAATTTAAAGTAAGAAGTGCTGACTCGTTCAGGAAAACTAGACACTAAGGGCACGTTCGCGAGGTTGCAGGGTACTCTGGGACAGTTATGTTGCTGTGGAAGGAGACTATATCGAAAATGGCAGCTTTTGAATGCACATAAATAATTTAGCTTTGCTTGTCAATAGAAAGCTAATATCGAAACCAGTTAGCGTCCCCTCGTGATGACCAAGTGCTTAGTATGAGAAGGTGGACTGAATTTCAGAGGTAGAGAATTTAGTTTTTCGTATTTACCAAAATTAAGAAAGTATCTCGAGAAGCTTCAGATTAACTCCTTTCGTCTAACTGCGGACCGGTTCTGGGAGTAAATTTTCGTGCAAAGAAAAGCAATTACACTCATTCTTTCCTAGCAACGCGATAACATCGTATTGGCCTCAGATGCGTAGAACGAATTCTTTAGGGTTTGGTTCAGATAAGACTCAGATGCATATAATTCCGGCTGACTTGTCCCCCTTACTTTCATTCTCTCGTTATGCTAAAGAGTTCCCACTAACTATTCACGAATGCGGAGATGCTTTGCTTAAGCCTGTGCTAACCATCTTGATAAAAACGTGGCCACCGACGAGTGTTTAAGGTGGCGGTACGAAATACTTGTTGCTCAGCGCCATTGCTTTAAACTACCTCGTTCAGCCCATTCGCTCTTCCCTTGGCTAACTGAGTTATCGAACGCATTGTGAACGCTCTTTCAACATCAGTTTCATGACAGCATGTCATTGAAGCAGAAATTACCGGTAACATGTCTGAAGTATTGCCTCTTTGGTTGGGCGCCGTGCAAGGACCATGGGCATCGCGTGGCGCCAATACTTAAACATTATTGCTGACTGCGCCCGTTACTGCAACGCAGCGCATGGCGTTTGTGCTGCCCAGCATACTTCCATGCTTGGCTGCAAACGCCAACGAGACCTTTACTCAGTCCACGTCCCCAGGGATACGGAGTTTATGAACATGTACCTCAACCACGTGTGGCCTACGGTAAGCGCCTGTGCGATTGACTGTGGTTGAGGCGATAATATATTCCTGCACGTTTACGCACATGAATTTTTCCGCGGCACTTCTCTTCACACTACTTGCCGTGTGCCCTACAAAGCACGACATCAAGCCCGTGTTCTGTACATATCGGTGACATATAGTGTGTTTTTTTGGCCTTGAATAGCCCTGAATCATAACCTTCTGAGATGAGCATCATGAAATAAAGTGCTCTATGTGCTAGGAATGGCGTTCGTTCAGTGAATCTAGAGACTAGACATATAGCTTAGCATCTGCATTCCAGCGTAGCTAGAGCCTGTCTCAGAAATTCAGTGGCTCTTGGCGCGGGCCACGTTCTCGAGCCTAGTGCGGCGCGCCCGGCGCGCACTCTGCGGCAAGCGGCGGCGCGCTCTCTCACCAAGAGTCTTGGGCTCGTCGCCGACGGGCGTGCCGGGCGGCAGGTCAAGCATGAGCCCCTTGCCCGGGTTGTTGAGCAGTCGCAGCATGGGCACCAGCGTCGAGCTGGCCAGCTGCACGACCAGGTGGCCCGTGTTCAGAGACGTGGTCACGGCGAGCACAGTGGCGTGCAGGTCGAAGCTGGCCATGCGGTGGCCGTTCTGCGTATTCCACAGCTGCAGCGTGTTGTCATCCGAGCTGGACACGGCCACCGAGCCGTCGAGCGTCAGCTTGGCCGCCCGTATGGCCTCGGTGTGGCCGCGCAGCACGAACCGATCGCTGCCGGTCGTCACGTCCCACACGATCAGGTTGCAGTCCTGCGAGCCGGACACGGCCAGCGAGCAGCGGAACGGCGCCACCGCCACGCACATCACCGGTCCCTCGTGGCCCACCAGCACCTGCGAGTCGGATCGTACGCATCAGCAGCCATGGCGCATTCACCGCGTGGACCGAAGAATCTCGCTAAGCATGCGTTCAATATATTGTGCTTAGGGTTTCCTTTGGGAGCACGCAATATAAACCATATAGAATATATATTATATAGACATCATTCCTCAGGCGTCTCTTTTCTTCCATGAAAGCTGATGGGCATATCCGATAATGCGGAGGAACATATCCCTATCCTATGCGACAGTCGCTAAAACGTTCGTGATTGACCCTGCCTTGCATGGTTTTTTTCTAGGATCGATTAATATGTGGGGTTTAACGTCCCAAAACCACTATATGATTATGAGAGACGCCGTAGTGGAGGGCTCCGGAAATTTAGACCAACTGGGGTTCTTTAACGTGCACCCAAATCTGAGTACATGGGCCTACAACATTTCCGCCTCCATCGGAAATGCAGCCGCCGCAGCCGGGATTCGAGCCCGCGCCCTGCGGGTCAGCAGCCGAGTACCTTAGCCACTAGACCACCGCGGCGGGGCGGTTTTTTTTTCTAGGAGGCGGGGGTGCAAGTTGCATGCAAAGGAAAGGAAATTCTCCAAACTCGAAGCAACATTTCTCAAAACCCCGCTGAAAATTAGCCTGCCTGCGGTCATAAGACATGTAGAGATGAACAAAGGGAAGTTTATTTCAACTGTGCTTTCATGGAGGGCAATCTTACGCATTGAGTTTTTGCCGATACTGTTATGAACTTGCCATACGCAGTGGGATGATTGCGTATTATTTCGCAAGCTTTTCTTTCGTTTTCGACATCTTTACGGCACGAAAATGACAGGACAGATAGAAGTACGATGACACGGGTGGTAAGATGTCGAGCAGTAAGCACCAACTCGGGAAAACTCAAGTTTTTCTTTCGTGGTTGCGAGATACTGGCCAGACATTGCGGTTGTATGTCACAGAAAATACTTCAAACTGAGACGTGGCTAATTTTCGTGAATAGATATAATTGAACGTTATTTAAGTATGTTTTTCAGTTAGATTAGCAAAATATGCCACGATTTTAATTAAAGAAGTTTTGCAAAATTTTAGATACAGCTCTCTCGAGGATTGACACACTCTGCAGCATTTCATTTATGTTTTGGTTAAACCACATTTAAGAATATGCAATAATGCACAAAAATAAACAATCACGAATGAAGTATGGCCCTTGAAGTTGAATAATTTTCTTTTCTTATAATTTTACTACTACAACGCCTTTTTTGTCATTTTAAACACGTCAATAAATGGGGGGATAACTTTTACTTCCTGAAGACACTTCACTGCGCATGCAGGAATACCACCCTGTGGATGCGAACGAGAAAGGGAGAACCTCAAAAGTAATTCAATAATGCTCGTTTCAGTGCCCGAGTGTCCTGAGATGCCACATGAGAGTGTAAAACGATGACGTTTACGGCAGATTGTTTCTTTTTTGTGCTTCGAACATCAGAACTGGTGATATGAATTGAAGACACTCGTCACGCAACTAGAAAGAGTTGGAATGTGACGGAAAACCTCATGTGAAGAGAGTTTAATTGAATGATTTGTGGGGTTTAACGTCCCAAAACCACCATTTGATTATGAGAGACGCCGTAGTGGAGGGCTCCGGAAATTTTGACCACCTGGAGTTCTTTAACGTGCACCCAAATCTGAGTACACGGGCCTACAACATTTCCGCCTCCATCGGAAATGCAGCCGCCGCAGCCGGGAATCGAACCCGCGACCTGCGGGTCAGCAGCCGAGTACCTTAGCCACTAGACCACCGCGGCGGGGCAAGAGGGTTTAATTCCCCTAAGCACAGTAATTCGATTTAATTTGTTAAGGAGTAACGTAAGCGAGATAGATAGATAGATAGATAGATAGATAGATAGATAGATAGATAGATAGATAGATAGATAGATAGATAGATAGATAGATAGATAGATAGATAGAATGATGGATGAATGGTTTGATTGAGTCAATGATTAATTGATAGATAAAACACTTCATGTTCCTGCAGATCGCTAAGAAATGCACCCCTCACGTTACGATTGTGGTCGCGTTACAATCGAATCGAAGACATAGTAATATATCTAATGTGGCAGTGAAGTATGTTTTAGTAGATACCGGGATATCGCAACATACCATGCAACACAGCAGCTGATGAAGCAGCATGGCAAGCACATCACAAAGATGCTTTGGTTTCTATTCCTATATCGAAAAATGAATTGCACTGCATTTTAAAGACAAAATCTCTCAATATGTGTGAAAAACGGGGTTTGACCAAAACTTCAGAAACTCTGATTTGTATCACTAGAGCCACTAATTGAGTTTGTAATTGCGTCATCCCTGCCCAGAAGTGTCCAAACCCTTATTAATAAATTAGGATTAGGCACAGCCTACACCAAGCATTTTTGACACAGAATTGGCTGCGCATAAACTTCGGAATGTGACTGCGGATTACTTGAATAAGACCTATATCACCTCCTTCTAGAATGCCCACAACACGATACACCGAGACGCTGACTTATATCATCTTTAATGATTTTAGATCACTGACCCTTCAGCTTAAAGGAGCTTTTGGGCTCGTGGCCAACGAAAGGTTTACAAAAGTGCACTGCAAAGCTTTGAAAATTTTCCATGAGAACAGCTCCGCCGTGGTGGTCTAGTGGCTTAGGTACTAAGCTGCTGACCCGAAGGTCACGGGATCAAGTCCCGGCTGCGGCGGCTGCGTTATTGATGGAGGCAAAAATGCTGTAAGTCTGTTTGTTTTAATTTGGGTGCACGTTAAGAAACCCCAGGTGGTCGAAATTTCCGGAGCCCTCCACTAAGGTGCTCTATCACAATCATATGGTGGTTTTGGCATGTTGAACTCAATATATATATATTGCCTTGAGGACAGTGGCATTCTTGTCCGATATTAGTGCAAATCAGTTTTTTATACGTGACAGTCCATAATTAGGAAACTATTGACTGTTGTATGGAGTATATAACTTTTATGTTGACAGTTATGTGACTGTTCGACTGTGCGCCGTGAGTTCTGTTCAATTTGTAAACATCACCATATATGCACGTATATGTGATTGTTGAGTACGTTGTTTGGACTAAACCTGCTATGCTATAATTAATATTGTAAGTGCTGTAGACTTGCTACGCTTGGAGGCCTGGACATTCCGTCAACTTTGTTATTGGACACTTTTAAGCGATAAAGAGTAGCTGAGTAGCCGGCGCCGTATTGGTGCGCCAACATCTGCTTACTTCGCATTAATAAAAGAAACGTCTAAGAATAGTGTATAAATTAATACTACTTGTACAAGTTTACTCTGTGGCTATAAAAGGGAGATTAAAAAAAAACTATGGACCATCTATCCGAAAGTAACCCTGATGAGATGCGAAGCAGCAGCGGTGCGCACGGCGTTGACCTGTTTGAAACAGGCGTCGACGTGGGTGCTGGAAGAACGGTCTGAAGCGCAACTCGGTGTAGCATAGGTGGTACCCGCACGCCCTCTCTATTCTCGAACGTGATCGGCATTCTTGACTCGCACCTCGTCGGTGTCATTGGTCTTCCATTGCCGACGCTTGCGTTCAGCCTCCCTGGCTCGCGCCTCGTCGGTGTTCCATGCACGACGTCCCCATCCGCCAACGCGATCGGCTTTGCTAACCCGTAACGCCGGCGACGGCCCGGAAAGGTACGCGCACACTAGTGCGCAACATGCCCAAGCGGCGTCCCACCCGTCGGCGTCATCACGCGGCAAGTAGCGGTGCTCTGTCCATATTGGCGGTGCCACGGGGCCACGGCAGGGCAAGACGACGGCACGCGAGCGCGCCTACCCGCGGTTTCTTCTCGACGACGGATGGAGAGAAGGTGGCGCGGGTGAGGAGATGATGCCAACGTGAGGAGTGGGCTGGAGCGTTGCAATCGCTGTGGAGAGGGTGAAACGAGAGAGATGACACGCGGCGAGCGACGACAGGCTATGGAGAAAGCGACGTCACGTGCGCTCACAGCGAGGAAAGGCTAGGCCTACTTGGCGCCACCACAGGTGTGGAGGGACAACGTTACACAGGCTAGTCAAAGAGCTGCTTCACATATAAAATGGAGAAGTAATGGTAACGTGAACGTCCCATGCGCTTTCACAGCCAGTGTTCGAAGGTGGCCTTTTGCAGGAGCAGCTCAAGAGCGATGTCGGAGAGCTGTGGTGAGGAAGACATCATACAATTCAACATTTCATTTACTTCCGTTGCAGCTAGTTGAAAGGAAACTCTTTCTCAATAAATATTGTGATAGAGAACGATGCCTGGTAAGGCCGCTTTTGGAAGTCTAGCGGTTGGGCCGCTACATTGCTGGCCATCGACGGCAGTCGACGTTCCACGCAGAGCCACATTTCCAAGCTGGGTGCGACGTTCGTGAAGCAACATTAGGGGCTTTTAGCTTGTACGTATACCTCTTCACGTTAGCGTGTTGCCGAATACCGGTTTGCTTTTACCGTCTTATCGGAACGCACGTTTTTCTAACGTTTTAGCTCCCCCATACGTAAATGTTTACGTACGTACGTAAACATGTATGCCTTTACGTTTTTGCATACCATAATTGGTGATGTTAACTGCATTTAAACCATCTTTAACTCAGGATTGCATCACCGCTCCGGTAAAATCACGACGCGTTTTTTATTGTATCCTCGTATGTACAAAAGAGTGAAGAAATACAAGGTTACCGCCACAATGGTGTCGAGATTTTGTTACACTTCATGCAACCACAATCATAAACACGTTGACTTACGCGTAATACTGTTGATCTGATAATGATTAAAACGAAAACTCCTTCCTAATAACACCGCTGCGCGGTTTTTACGCCAGACGTACAATGCACGAAACTTCTGCGTTAACATTTTGACCTGGTTTATTTTGACCCACATAAGATGGCGCCACCTATTCGGCCGTTAACATAGTTTATTCCTTCCGATAGAGTTAACTATATATGTTCCTTCCTCCATGGGCTGAAACA